AGTAATGTATGTCTTTTTTTTTTCTGGATAGTTTCTATTAACGTAAATGAAAAAGGTATTAGTCTTAGTACTGCTCTCTTAATTATAATTATTGGGGGGGAGGGGGGGGGGAATCGAACACAAATGAATTTATGTTTATTGACATTTTTATAAAACTATTTCCCGTGGAAAGAAAACAAATAACCCGGAAACATCTGTTCCATATATCATATTTACCGAATATGACACAAAGAGTGTGCCAAAGTGGTTAATAAAACATTTCAGTATAGCAAGTGAAGGTTAATTCCAAGTTCAATGCATCACAGAACAGAGTTTATAAGTTAACATACGGTAGATGGTATGTTAACGCTATGTATGTTTATTTACTCTTTACACGATGGCGTTTGATTGTTTCAACATATCGTTATTTAATAACAACAACAACAACCCAAATTTAAACAAACCAAGACAGTGGTAACAATAATAATATGGAATATATATATATATGTATATAAACAAGAAATCAACAACATTATTTACTAACAAGAATAAAATCAAAACACTTAAAAAATTTTCTTCATAAAACGTGAGAAGATAGGAACATTTATTTTCAACGACGCAATGCAGAGTAGACTGAATACACGTAGATTACAGTAATAAAATCCTGTCAAACTTAAGTTATATTATTATTAATTTAATCAAGTAATTATTTCCCACAAGCTTGGATATTCATGCAAGCATTTCCTTAGATGTAATTCCACGCTTGAGTCGTTTGACACATATTTAGTGGTAGCTTCTACCCACTGGGTATTTCGCGTACCACCCGAAAGCTCCGTAGCCGCCAGTGTAGGCACCTTTATCCAGATATCCAGACACGTCGTAGCCACCACCGTAGCCAGACGCAGCAGGTTTTAAGTCGGCTACTATCTCGTGCGTAGCGGCTGGCTCGTACACCTGTTCATTATTATGCTCTGGAAGTACAGCTATTACAGGCTTTTGAACTGACTCAATAGGCAGTAAGAACACTGCTTCTTGATCTCCTTCTTCGTTGTCGTCGACAGGGGCCGCCACTATCAAGCTCAGTGCCAGTGGGAAGATAAGCACCTAAACAAACATTACAATTTGGTAGGCAGTGAGTATATGCAGGTACGATATGGCAACAACAACAACAAAACAGGTTTCCAATATTGTATTTTTTTGAAAGAAGTAAAAATTGTAAAACTGTGATCCATTATATGTTTGTTGTTAAGAACAAGGCTACAAAATGGCCTATTTGTAATGCATCAACCACGGGTTTCAAAACCCGATTTCTAGCACTGCAATTCTGCAGATTTACTGCTGTGGCACTGGGTGGGTGGGGGAACTGGTCTGTTATGCACGTTTTATTCTCTCGTTTAACTTAATCTTACCTTTAAACCTTTTTACCTGTCAAAGTTGTCTATCAGAAAATATAGGCTTAACACATTTTTCAGCTTATCAGATGACATCAAAAAATAAATAAATAAAGAAAAGAAAGTTGCAACCCGCTGAATAGTTTATGAATTGCTCTATGAAAACATTTTTTTGACAGTTAACTTGCTATTATGAGACGTCAAGTGTAACTTTGTAATTTAAGGTAAATGTTTACAATTTAAGCTAAACTGTATATACGATTTAAATATTGTATACTTTATAGTCCCTTCACCCACTAAAATATACTTGATTTATTAAGTGTACATGACAACTTATTAAATTATGTTTATTTTATACATATACAAAACGATTTATAAATCTACATGACAATATGTTTGGCACAGGCCTACGCTGATACGTAATTATAGACACCCATCTAGCTTATCACAATTGCATAAAAGCAAGCATTAACAACTTTTCACTTATGAAAGTCAACGTAATCTGCAGGGACTGCCAAAATATTGGTTGGTGTTTGTTGCGGGAAACCCAAGACATCTCGTTGAAACGGGTATACTTGGGAGTTGTAAGCCACTTCATCACAAATTCAGTGGAATAGGACTCTACGCAATGCAAGTTTCCGTACGTACACCTACCTGCCTTTATGTACACAAAGTGGTATAAAAGTTACCGTGTAAGTAATATTTAATATACGGTACTAAAATTCGTTACTCATATATTGCTTAAATCAACTTGTAAGATAATATGAAACAAATTAAAATTCAAAAGAATTAGCATTCCTGTAGATGTAACTAAATTTGGGCCACCTAGTAGTTAAGCCAATAATCACTGGAGTAGGATTTGCCAAATTTTATACAC